GTCGCTCATAGTCATTTCCTGATTCTCCATAGCCGAATACCGATTCCATATCATTTTCATCGAAACAAGTTGAAATGATTTGTGTGTCTGTCTGTCCGCTAATAACTTGTGTCTCGCACTTTGCGGCTGCGGACATACATACATACAGGCATTTTAACAAGACCCTTTCCTTAAGACCCTTTCCACGAAAGCTGAAAAAATCGTCCTCTGAAGAAGGGGGAGGGCGGGTGCTACTTGTGAGGAAGCTTTCAATCACAATAAAGTTATAAACAGTATTGAAAGCACTATTTTCTGAAAGTACGCAGTCGATAGTACATAAATCCGTCAGAAATGGAAAATCGAAAACAGTGTCAAAAATCGCTTTCTGAAGGAAGCAGGGAACAAAGACCTTAAGAACACCTACAAAAAATAAAAGTTCTCACTCATCACCAATGTGGTCCATTCTGGCCCATTCCAGCCCATTCTGCCATTCCAGAAACGCTTTTTCCCCCTTGCATATTACTCAATAAAATAAATTAAAGATCAACTTTTTCTGTTGTTACTCACTGACAAAAATGCATCATAAAAAATATTCTTTATGAAAATTTGTATCATTCAAGGGTGCTTAAAATGAGCTATAAGAAACCGTATGTGTGATTTTCTCACAATCCCCGCAAAAATGTAGAACAATGCTACAAAGAAAACAGTATTGACTAAAACTGAACTCCTCGTAAAAAAACAGCTTTTTTCGCTGTTTTTCCGTAAATCTCCGAAAATGTTTTGATAGTCTGTGATGAAGACCTTCTGACACGCAACTATGCAAGAGCGAAAACAAGTAATTAGAGCTATTTAGCGTGCGTGCTCAAACCTATTTATCTCACATTTTGCGGGAAAATGTAATTAGGGCTTTTGTTCAGTAATTATGGAAGAAATTCCACTTTTTTGCATTATTTTTCAATAAAGCAAGTGGTTTAGTATAATTTTAGGTATGTCAGCCATCTTGAATTTCTATTGGTTAGTATACATATAAAATAGTTGCACGTAGAAACGAGTGCTCTACAAATGAACTAGCAAGATCGGAGCTGAAAATTTCAGCATAGTAAGAGAAAAATATTCTGAATCGAACTGTTTATTTAGATTTTCGAGATCTGCTCGCGGGCTGTGGTCTTATACTCAATATGCGATAATGATACCAAAATATAATGAGCTTTTCTAATCTGTGACGGAAATATGAAAAGTTGAGACGGTTGCGAATGTTGAAGAACTGAAATTCAGTGAATAACAAAAAAAAATGTCAAAATGTATGATTAACCTTTTATTTTTTATTAAACTATTAGCAGAATTAACCGACGTTGCCCGGGTTCTTGAACAAAGAAGTAATTAACTTTTTTTAATGTTATTAAAGTTTTTCTTCAATTCATGTTATCAAAGCATAAGAATTTGTTTAACAAAAATCAATAAAAAAATCAGACTTAGTCTTCGCTTAAAGCCTGGTAATAGAGAACGTTTTTTCACATGACTATAAGTATGTACGTCCGTCACACTCATCAGCGATTATATGTACATTTTTAAATAACTCGGCTCCTGGTTGATTGATTTTAATGAAATTTTCGCGACTTATCGTAGATTTTGACCAAGAAATAGTGTGCAAAATTTCGTCATTCTAGACCTTACCGTTTGGGCGTGCATTCTGAGACAAACAGACAGAATGACAAACATTGAGGAATATAGTATAGATTATTATAAAAAAAAATTTTCATTACTAACGGAAAACATGAATTTTAATATTTTCCGTTAAATATACAATTCCAATAATGGAAGCTCAAAACAGCAATATTTATAGCACATGCCGTAATTACACCCTAACCCTCACCCTCATCTCATAACCGATAAGCCAATATATTACGATCAAAATTCGAATAGACATATTTTTCTTCGCTTTCCACCACTATAATTGTCGAAAGCATTTGATATTTCTTTTAAAGTAGTAGTGGAAAATAAAAGCTGAATATATTTTACTTTATTCTTGCAGGTCTGGACAAAAGCTCGTGATGCAAAAAACACCCCCGGTCACTTCTTTCTCGATCGAATATATGCATTTGGCTGTTAAAAGAAAGATTTTATTGAATTTAAATAAATTTGTTAGTGATAACTAGTTTAAATTAATTTACTTCAAATGAATCCGAAATATTCTTATCCTTTAAATTAATTCAAATTAATTTAAGCGTTGAATTTGCTGTAAAATAAATCATTTTAAACGTATCCACATTAACTTTGACTCTAAAAATTAATTAAAACTAATTTATATTATCAAGATTATTACAAATCTATCACAAAAACATTGATTTAAATGAATTTGACAGTAGAAATCAATTTGAAGCAATTTAAAGCACGAAATTATTTCGAACTCATTCAGAATAAATTAATTTAAACTAGTTTGGTTAAAACTAACTTAAAATTAACGTTTTATCAAGATAACTGGAGCTGATTTTATCCTAGAAATTAATTCTCGTTGATTTTAACTGCGAAATTGATGTAAATTAATTTACTACAAACGAATTTAAATTAATTTGACCTCTTAAATTAATGTGAAGTAATTAATTTTTCATCTCTTTTTAGGTCAGAAATTAGTCTGAATCAATTTAAAATTATATAAAAGTTCCAATGGTTAATCTTTGGACTTATTGAAGATTCCGGCGATGAAGACGAATCATGCTAAATAGATAACAATTGAATTTCACATTGATTACACACGTGCCATTAGTCGCAAATGGAATAGCGTGTCCAAAAGAAGCATTATATATCGACACAACGAATTTCATCAAGAACATCATAATCATTCACCAAGGCCAAAAGCTAGCGACAAGATGTACAAAAATAATCAATGAAGGCAGTGAAGATACGAAATATATTATTAATCTTAAACAATTTGCAAAAGTCGTAGTCAATTTAGCTGCCACTGTCTCTGAACGCCTTAATCAATATCAGTTAAACACTAGTAATCATTCAAAATCTATTCGCTCGAACACATCTCGACAATCAGCAGTAGATCTATCACAAATGGGTTTGAATGCGCTTCAGAAAGAACAAATACATTAATTATTTTGTCCTTTTAAAAAAAGAATAATCCATGACCATTTTTTTAATAACTCGGAAACGTAAAAAGCTAAGCAGGTGGGGTTTTCAGATATGGAAAGAGCACAATATGGAGCCTCTTTTCACAAGCGAAAAGATTTTAGAAAAACTTTCTCAAAGTCGCGCTTTGTAGGAATCTCCGAAAAACTCATGTATGACGGGAAATTTTTAGTAGTGAACTACCAGTTCTTTTAACATTAGCAGATAGAAAAAAGTGTCGTCTTCAAAATGGGGTCTAAGCAGTTGCGTGAAAATCTTTAGTTTAGCCGAGAGGACAATTTTTCCTAGGCTTGTGACCTTTCACTTTTGCAACTTTAAAAAGCGCGTCCAAAAATAGCTTATGGTCCATCTGAATCTCGTGGAATCTTCATTTTCTGATTTGAAACCTTTGTTCCATTAGAATGCAACTCTATCTTCCACTGCTTGATGCATGTCACAATCATAAGGCAGAAAACATTTCAAAAAGCGGATGCAATTGCAGAGCAGTGTGATAACAATATCATCGAAGACGATATACAATCTGAATCAGAAGAACAAGCCTCTGATTGAATTTCCTTGTTTTTTCGTCTCCATGTGTTTACTCCTTGTTTTTGTTAACGTTCAATCGCGAAAAAACTATGTTTTCTGCCTTATGGTTGTGACATGCATCAAGCAGTGAAAGATAAAGTTGCATTCTAATGGAACAAAGGTTTCAGATGAGAAAATGAAGGTTCCACGAGATTCAGATGGACCATAAGCTATTTTTGGACGCGCTTTTTAAAGTTGCAAAAGTGAAGGGTCACAAGCCTAGGAAAAATTGTCCTCTCGGCTAAACTAAAGATTTTCACGCAACTGCTTAGACCCCATTTTGAAGAGGACACTTTTTTCTATCTACTAATGTTGAAAAGACTGGTAGTTCACTACTAAAAATTTCCCGTCACACATGAATTTTTCAGAGACTCCCACAAAGCGCAACTTTGAGAAAGTTTTTCTAAAATCTTTTCGCTTGTGAAAAGAGGCTCCATATTGTGCTCTTTCCATATCTGAAAACCCCACCTGCTTAGCTCTTTGCGTTTCCGAGTTATTAAAAGAACGGCCATATGTTGCTCTTTTTTAAACGGACAATAGTTAAGAGTTATCGCGACGTTTTTACTCAAACAGCCGGATGAACAGCGTTAACAAAACACCGTATCGCTTTACACCCAGAGACAAAACCGAGTAATAAACTTTCGTAGAGTTCAGCTTCCGATAAACGAAACGTCATCGACAAAGAAATTGACGAAATGCTAGTAAAAGCAACCATCTCGGAATCAAATAGTCCGTGGGCAGCAACTGTCGTTCTTGCACCCAAGAAAGACAGCTCTCTCCGTTTTTTGTTGATTATCAAGCGATTAATGCAGCCACTATACTTATTCAAATCATCTGAAAGTTGCACATTCAACTGTGACATGGGCTTAAACATCAAGAATAATCTTTTCTGACTAGAAGAACTTCCTGAAAACCTTTTAAGATTTTTCTGAAATTGCACACAGTTTCGTAATCAAGAGGCTATAGAGCAGCTCAAACATAGTACAGTCTGCAATTTTCAGGTAATTTTAACCGATTTCGAAGTCTGAGTTTCGGTATAATGTACAATTAGCTCAAATCATAGATACTTGTCTTGAGGCTTCCCGAAAATCGAACGTAAAATTGAAACCAATAAAAATCAAGGTCTAGCTTGACTCTCATTTTCAGTCCAAAGCTTTCGACTACCTACCTTTGTAAAAGGTGGATATATTATCATTTCAAGACCAATACTGCTTTTCACAGATCCCTTAGTTTTGTGAAAACCATTTATCAACTCTTTGAACACACAGTTAGAAAGTGCTTCGAACGCCGATTTTAAACCATCTCTTCTTCTTCTTCTTTCAAAACATCATTCGTTTGTCAGCGCTGAATGTGGCACCTCCATTCGATATATTATTATTCGAAATATACAGCTTCCACAGTGTTGTATTCACCTTCAATGCATCAGCGATGGATGTTGCACCTTCATTCGATATATTATTATTCGAAATATCCAGCCAATGGAGTCTTTTATTGATCTTCAGTGCATCAGCGATGGATGTTGCACCTTCATTCGATATATTATTATTCGAAATATCCAGCCAATCGAGTGTTTTATTGATCATCAATGCATCAGCGATGGATGTTGCACCTTCATTCGATATATTATTATTCGAAATATACAGCTTCCACAGTGTTGTATTCACCTTCAATGCATCAGCGATGGATGTTGCACCTTCATTCGATATATTATTATTCGAAATATCCAACCAATCGAGTGTTTTATTGATCACCAATGCATCAGCGATGGATGTTGCACCTTCATTCGATATATTATTATTCGAAATATCCAACCAATCGAGTGTTTTATTGATCATCAATGCATCAGCGATGAATGTTGCACATTCATTCAATATATTATTATTCGAAATATCCAGTTCATTCAGTGTTTTATTGATCTTCAATGCATTAGCGACTGCGCGTGCGTCTTCTACCGATAAATGTTTATTGGATAAATTAGAGAAATATTCGTTATCCATGTCATTTATGATAGTTAAATAAATGCGATATGTATTGTTTTCAGTGTCGGATTCAACGGTAATAATTTTAAACTCTGTTCCAGCAGGAAGTAGAACTTCGTCTTCGTTTGGGTAACATGAATATGATGAGATATCAAAGCCACCAGCCGTAGTCTTTGTTAGATCTATGATAAACAACGCGTTTCCAAAAATTTCCGCTTTTTGACGATTTTTGCTTGTTGAAGAAAATCCATACCAACACTTGTATGTACCGATAGCTTCTTTATAGCATGCAATCATTTCTGGATCGAGGTTGGCACCACGGTAGACCTCCATTTTATATTGGTTCTTAGAGTTATTTGACCACGAATCAAATAAGAAGTAGCAGAATGGCGCGAGCGTGTCTACTTTGGTTGCATCATTTTCTCTCAATGTTTTATTAACTAATTTGTATAGAAAACATTCTTTGGATAATGCAACACTTGCAAATTTCTTCTATGTCTTGAGTTTTCACAGTTCGCAACTGCTTCGCAATCCATTGGGATTCACACTTTTCGCCTAGTCGATTTCCTTCGAAGATGATTCCATTTGCTGCTTGTTCTACTTTGTCACTATTAGAAATCTTCTTATTTATTGTTTTCCAGAAGAATAAAAACGATTTGTTTTTCGTCTCCCACTCCTTAATAAAGCCGTGATAACCTCCATTCAAACGATCCTCATTGAAGGGCTTCTTTAATGGTTCTGCAAAAAAAGAATCTCTCTTCTCGTAAAGACTGACTTTCATTTCTATTGATTAACATTCGTTTTATTTGTCTGCATTTATTTTGATCGTGTTTACTGATTTGAATCGAGCCATTTAAGTCGATTCAATAGTTATCCAATTCGACCAAATGTTTGTTTCTCTTTTGGTTAAATGCTTCTTCAATGATGTCGGATTGAATATCCGAATATCTTCTCCATTCTTCCTTTTCATTGGCCGACCAGGGATCGGAATTCGATTTCCAGTACCATTGAGCTTGTGGGTGATCAGTTTCTTGCATCAGTTGATTTGTCGTTGATTAGATCAATTCAAAGTGATTCTTATTGGAAATGTCTGTTGAAGTAAAAAGAATCCAGTAAGCAAGAAGCAAGAACGTTGTGTAGCTGAAGAAACACTTGTTCAGATTTATGATGACCTCTCTGAGTTTTATTTTAGGCGATATTTCAAGTACGAAGCTATGTCTATATGTTTTAGTACTGGAAGGAAACTTGACACTTCATGGTTCAATTTGAGAGTAAATGCTCTGCTCTTGAAGACAAGATTTGTTGTGTATACTTTGAAACTCATCGTCATTGTTCGTACAGGCTAGTGTTTTAGTTTGACAAATAATTATTTGAACTGCTCAAATTTGACTGAATACATTATCGAATTGAGCTCAGCTGCTTTCTGAAATGTTCATTGTGCACGTTTCCTATTGATTTCTTATTCTTTGAAAACAGAAGAGTTTGTTTATTCCTTTGTCATCTGCTATTTACTTTTAACATCACTTATAAAACAGCGAGACAAGAATCAACTAATAGAATCACAACTATGCCTCAAGACGGTGCCGAATGAAGCACTACAAATAGACATTTAAAAGTTTTATGCCCTAATATAGGAGCTGTTTTCATTTTTTTAAAGAGTTACCGAACGACGAATCCAGTTTTCTTCACACAAAAGCGAGTCACAGGTTATTAGATTTGGCTTGCTACTTATTCCACAAAGATGGTAGCAGTTGACTTTGCTGACGAGAACTTCCTTTTCAGCCAGGTAGAACATTGATCTTCTTGCTTTTGAGTAGAAAACGGAAGGCTCATTCTCCATCAAAAACAAATAAAGTCATTTTATATAATTTTGAGATGATTGTCGAAAATAACAGAGTCGGTTCAATCGATTCCAAGGGCTTTTGGTCATTTGTTTATAGCAGAAAGCTTTTCGATCTTTGATAGAGTCCTTCCTCCTTATGAAGTCCCAAATGGATGACCATTACACTGAGGAATAAAATTGATGCTGGACGTTCATCTTCTGTCAGATTGATGTGTTCATGCAGTGGCTGTTATAGAAATTTCGATCGAACAACTCAAGGCATCAAATGACATGGTCAGCTTTAAGATAAGCCTTTGACCTTCATCTGTGGCGTTTACTGAGTTGAGAGGGGGAGAGAGAGGGAGAATTCCTTTATATGACAGTGAAATGTGACAAATGATATAACAAATATTCGAAGTTCAACGAACAGACAAAACGTTTTAGAGCTTGAGTGTTATGCTAATTGCGGTTGAAAACCACGGATTTACCTTTGTTTCAGAGACAATGTCATGAGTTTGTTTCAGATGAAAATAAAATGCTTTTTACTTACGTGAATTGGAATTTCCTTTTTGCTCTATCAAGCAACGGCTAACTTATCTTTTCAATTACTCAAACTCGCTCTTTGTCATTGTGAATCAGTAACACCCTCATTTAACTTCCAGACTAGACTTATCTTACTCAGTTTTTGATGCTCTTTCGAATGGCTTAATCGGACTTTGTTTTCATCCATCCATTCTCGACATTCCCAGGTCACACTGAAGAGTATGCGCTTTTGGCGTAAACTCGCGTTTTCATCCTCAGAAAATAGCTTTTCAAAATTATTTTTTTACCAAATGTAGCTGGCGCTTTCCTCTATCGATTGATGTAGTTTTCATATTTTGTTCGTGCTTATACAGCGTAAAAAAAACTTTTATCAACTGTACGGAAACGTTCACTTTTCGATCTAATGAGCTCACACAGAACAACAATGAATATTTCTAACTTACTTTATCTCCAAATATACTAGAGAGATCGGAGAATGTTTTAGCGCAAACCGCTTGTCAAAAGCTTTTTTCGTTACCGAGTTATGACTAAAAGAAAAAGAGGATAGGAGTGTATGCAAAAGTTTTGCTGGCACTGATACTTTCAACGATGTTCGGTGACAGCATCGCAATTTTTATTTAACCCTGACACGACCACCTATAGGACTATCACTTCTTGCCCACCTGGGCTCCGTCCGGACCACAAGTTGATAAAACAGGTTTAAAAATCACTGTTAAGACATGAAACATTTTTAATAACATATTCGGATTCAGCCTCGAATGATAAATATTCTCAAGAAAAAATCAAGTCTCCAGCATAAAATTTGTATTTTGAAAATTTAACTATTTTGAAAAGTAAAATATCTCAACTCAGGTAAGCGTTGCAGACTCCGGACAAACGTCATTCGATAGACAAACAAAATTGAGCGAATGCAAAGGTTCGACAATGTTTCCGTATCACGTGATCCTGGCTTTCTCTGAAGTTTTCCTGAATCAGGGCGAAAAACTCAGAATTCCACCCGTAATTCTCAATTTTCTCTATCATAACTCAACGTTTGAGCAATAAAAATAACATATTTGGAACCAGAAAATCCAAAACTGAGTCGGTTGATGTGTATCTCTATCCTATCTGAGTATTTTTATTTTTTTCGAACTTTTACATTGAAAATTTAAATGAATTGAAGTTTTCAAATTTCAAATTAAATTAAAAAATACAGATTTTATGTTAAATACTTGATTTTTTTGAAAATATTCATCATTCGAAGCTGAATCTGAATATATTATTAAAAATGCTCCATGTCTTATAAGTGATTTTTAATCCTATTTTATCAACTCTGGGGTCCGCATGGATGGATCCCAGGTGGACAACAAGCGTTCACACGTACTTCCACATCGTTTATTACATCAACAACGAATGGCAATGACCAACCGATGTTATCAGCTTACTGTGCTACTCTTCACTGAGGCATACCATGACGGGCATGATTCGATCTAATATTATGTGCATATAACATTAATTTGAAACTTGTTGGAGTCCAGCTGGCCCCCAGGTGGGCGTATCAGGGTTAAGGGTTTTAATTGAGAGTTATGCTAATTATAGTTGAAAAGCATGGATTTACCTTGGTTTTGAGACAATGTCGTGCGTTCGTTTCAAATGAAAATAAAATTCTTTTTGCTTACGCCAATTCGAATTTCCTTTTTACTCTTTCAAGAATCTACTATCGTTTCTTTTCGCTTACTCAAACTTGCTCGTCGTCATTGTGAAAAAAGTCAAGAGAAGGCAGAAAAGGTATTTTTAAGAAACAGTACCTTTTCTGCGTTCTGCTGACTTTTTTCATAATGACAAAGAACGAGTTTGAGTAAGTAAAATAGAAACGATAGAAACGATTATTCCCATATTACAGTTGCATGTACATCTGTCGACTGATTTTGAATGGGTAACGAACTTTATTTTCTGTCATGTTTTTTTGCTGAGGAACAAAAGGTTTTGACCGATTTTTGTTCTTCATTACTTTGGATTTTAGGCCGTTAAAGATGGCGTTGCTGCTGACAGCAGAACATGATAGAAGATATCTGAAAGCACAGTTAGAAAGTGCTTGGAACGGCGATTCTAACTCATCTCTTTTTCTTTTTTCAAAAGTTTTATAAGACAGAAGAATGCACCAACATTTTGTGTCAATAATTTAAGCCCAACTCTTAAAGACAGTTTTGGAGAAAAGTTATAAATAGAAAGAGAGAACTAAACAACTAGGTAGTTCGGTGCCTCCTCAGAGTATTCGATCCAATGGTGATTCCACTATGTTGTTGCTTTCAAAGAAATTCTCATTTAATAATTATAATTCTCATTTTTGGAATGAGAATTCTCATTCAAAAAATATTGGTGGCATGGTTATTTAGCCGGGCGGTCATCGAACGTCGTTGAAGCTGGGATATAAAATCATTTTCAAGACTCTTCTTAACAAATTCATGATATATTTCTAGAGTCAATTCGAATTTCTAGAAATGAACTTTTTATAAGGAAAATTCGGAGTAAAACTGAGGTAAAAGCTAACATTTGCCGACCTGACTATAGGATGAGTAATTGCTGAAATGTAACAAAACTTTGAAAATTTTTCAAAACTTAGTAGGGATGATATATTTATAGATCTGTTTTAGTCTGACTTCTGATGCTTTCTGTTGGGCATTTCCACGAAAAGAAAAATTTTAAACTCTTCTCGTTCAAGTGAGATATAATTCATTTTTTCCAACCATAATACCCTTTGCACCGTAAGTAACCATTTTGATTTCACCAGCGTTATAAAAACCTATTGCATCTGTTGCTGAACCATTGATTGATACCGAAATTATGAATTCTCATCAATCAAGAACTCCAAATTCCTGGAATTTTAAAGTACCAGAATTTTGAGTGGTCGTCGATATGAAATTCTTGAATTTTTTGGAGCCTCCTTCGGATTCAATTCAGCCGACGAGTGGAGAGGGACGGTGAGTGC